ATTCAGAAGCCGGCATCCTGCCGTGGCCAAAATATCATGGGTGATGCCGCAGGATAATCGATAGTACAATCCCACTTACGTAATCCATTCTAAACAAGAACTCATTTCGCCGAATATTTCATGAGATAGACCAGCTACTGTACTTCGTGAAATTTGCAGGAAAACCCTCGAACGCAAAAGCCATCCACCCTGCACCCCCAAGCATTCGCACCACTAGATAAACGTCCGTTCTTAGGTTGGTTTGTGAATTATCATCTACTAGGTGAGAAATGCACTTTTTTTTATCGAAGATCAGGATTTCGGAAATGTGGCATATTACGAGTTATTTACCCCTGGCTTAGTACGGCGTCGCCGAGTGCCGTCGTAGCCAAAAGCATCCTTCGCGATGTCGGTGAACGCTGTTGTTTACGGCTTACATTTTTAAAAGCCAGATTTGCCACTCCGAATTTGATGGCCATCCAAATAACCAGACATCAACAATTCTTGAAGGCTGTAGTTAGCGCAGTGCGTCCTCGTGGGAGGTTTTCGCCTTTGATGTTGTTTGAGGCCTGGGCTTCTGGCCGCAACTGCAGAAGCTAACGTAGTGATATGCTTTCTGCCCGTCGGGTGTCACGCTTGAAGCGCCTTACGCGTGCATAAACCTTCGCCTCTGACACCTACGCCGGGCTGGGAACCACCTGATCATGGCTCCCGCATCACAGAGACGTACGCGCATGCATCACCGAGGGCGGCCTATCGCGGGCGCCCACAAACTCGGCAGTCACCCAAGTCATCTTATCAAGCTGGCCTTGAATCTCGCATGACGCTTAACCATTCACGCGCATATCATCCAGTGCAAGGCTGTGCACGGGCCGCCCGTGGGGGCTCTGACCACCACCGAGTTTTTGTCCACGACAACCACTGGTGTTTTCGTCCCTATCCTTTCGAAGCGAGGCTAGGCTATGATTATTATGACGATCTGAGTACACTTACTACTTAGACGTTACACGCTCACGTAAATGTGTCGCAGTAAATACGATTCACTGATCTGTCAATCTTGCTGGATGGAGTGCGGACTCAGACCAAAGTCCGAGTCTATAGACCTTAAACGTACTGATCTACTTCAAGTTTGCAGTTAACTTCAAAGGATATTAAAAAGCAGCAATTTCCAAATTAGAGTATCTACTAGAAAGCAGACAGATGTTGGGGGCCGAACCCCTCGCAGCTGTGTCATGCAGCGGCAGAATATCAGCGAGACACGCGTGTATGGGCTTTTGGCTACTACCTGTGCTGTTAGTATGAAATCACCTTACCCTAAAATTCACTGATCTGTCAACCTTGCTGGATGGAATGCGGGCGTTTCGTTTTCACGCAGAGCTCTGGTCTAGAGCCCATTAGCAACAAGCAGTCAATAACTGGGGCCGGCTACCTGTGGCAAACGAGTTCGAAGTTCAGAATTATGGCACGTACTATTTTGCTTGTGGTGGAGCAATTGGCCACCAGTATAGTGCTCTCCAGTCCGAGCGCGTTTGAGTCACTTACCTGTGCAGTCGGCATCCAACCGAGACCGCCATTCTCATAGATTGGTTTGGCTCGTAATCAGGTAGAAATCGAGTCTTATGCTGCGCCCGGAGTCACAGTGTATGGCACAGCACGTTCGACCCGACCCTTTTGTCGCGGTAAGGGTGGTTAGACAAGCATCTCTCTAATCACTGAACTGGGTTTATTTCAGTTGGCCCATTGGCTACGGGCAGGCAACAGACTCCAAGTCAACCCGTGGTGGTGGCAGGGGTCGTGGCACAGCTCGCGGCGGTGCTGGAGGCTCACGCGGTGGCCGTGGAGGTGGGACCAAAAAGCCTACTGTTGTCCGTGCTCCCACTAAACGCCCCAAAATCGTGGAGAGCGACGTTTCCTCCAGCGGTGAGGTGGATAATGCCGACGACATCTTCAAACCAGGTTAGTTGGATGTCTTCTTTGCAACCTTTAAACCCTCGTTTATGTGTGAACCTCCCCGTTCCCTCCTGTGGAAGACCCTTTCACCTGACCGTACGGATGCTTCGCATTCAGCGCAGACTTTACAGATAACTTGTTTGCCGAGTCGGAGTGTAATTCGCACAGTGCGAAGGTGCGTCGCCGCCGTGGCTGAGTTCCCGGCTGCATCAAGAAAATTCACTGTGCGCCTATCACAAGTGCTAGTTGAAAGTGAAGACACATGTACCACTGAGGCACCCGACGGATACTTTTCCAAGTTTTTTTTATAAATGTATTTCGTTAGTACGTGAAAAACAGTTGAGCTAGCACAGTAAGGGAGAGAGTGCAATTGTTAAAAAACTGCTTTTCCAGGTTATGTGAAGTAGTAACTCAAACATTGACTTTGGTACGCTATCTTGGCGAAATATTCAGGGTGCGTCAAAACCTCAGAAGTCTTATCGAGGGCGAGGTTTTGACTGTATGCTTTCAGGCGTCGCAGGCTGAGGAAAAAGCACTGCAAGTTTTCTCAAGAGACTGTTCTTCCTAGGTTCTGCCGAGGACTCGCCACAAGCCCCCACGCGGCCCCGAGTGAATCCTTTGAGGCCGACACAGAAGAGGTCCCAGTACGTTTTTGATAGTGGTGATAGCGAGCTGGATGACGATGATGAGGATGATTACGGGACTTCATCAAAGGGTCGGAGAAGGGCGCGACGAGACAGTGATGATGATTACCGCCCAGAGTAAACGACCGTCTGCACCTCCCCTACTTATGCGCCCCTCCATTCCCTACCAACACAATCCTTGCTTCCCGTGTATTCTTTTCCACTCACTTTATTCAGAATCGCTCAAGAGGTTGAAAGTCCGGGCCTCTCCGTGAAAATAGTCTTCTCTGTGCATCTGTTAGTCATTTTACAGTTTTGAGATACATCCCAGACACTTTTGTGCCCTTGCTTATACATATGCCTTTTTACTCTACCTGTTATGTTTCTTACATCACATATATGTGCTTTTGAGAGATGGAAATGTCACTTCTATCAGAAATTGACTTACTGTCCGCATTGTACGTTGAGTAGTGGGAGGTTGACGCCTCACCGGTGTTTTGTGGGTAGCAGTGACGCGTCTCCTTTTGTGTGTAAGCCAGCGTGAATGGCGATCTAGTTGGCTCAAAGAATCAGCTAGGCGCCGGGGAATCGCTGTACAGTTGGTGTTCCACTCCCGAAAACCACTGAGCCAAGTATTCTTTCTAGGTTCAACTTGACCAAGTCTGTGCGCAACTTAGTTATCCATGACAACGGGACTCGGCGATACTTTCGCGGGTGGGCTCCCCTTCAGGCCAGTGGAATACATGACCTAACCAACTGATACGGCGGAATTTGACTGCCTCATCGGCGGTGGATTTCCACATTCGAAACATAGTCCGTGAACTGAAATACTCTATTTAGGCATCTGCTGCCCAACATCTCATTTCTGATGTTATCAGCAAGTGCATCACCGGTCTCGTAACCGTATAGTAGGACAGCTCTACCGACAGTCCGACCGTTGATTTCGGCGATGTGCATCGTATGCTCTAAAGCAGGGCGAGACCAGGGGCGATTATTTGTCCGAGTTCATTTGAAGTGGCAGTGGACTTGCGCTGTATCTGCCGCACTCTCATCCCCACCTGGATCCGGTTTCAAGACAGTCAAGAAGGCCCGGAGTGAGAAGAGCATAAATGGCTGACACGGTGAAAACCTGCACCTAGGCGTACCACCAGGCCTTACGATCCTTAATGTACACGGACCGGGAAGTACTCCGTCGTCCCGAATCCCACCATTCAAGAGCAGAGGGACAAATTTGCGCGGTTAAAACCGCAGAGCGACATTTTGATCCTAGGACGAGCTTGCACAAATTGTTTTTTAATTTTCTCGGAGTAAATTAGTTTTAACAAGGGCCTATGGGCGCAGGCCGATGTCCATCAGCCACAGCCGGATAACCACTTAATATAAACTGCCGACAGACAGCTAGTAGGGTTGAAAGATACCACACTGGCAACACAGGTACCAGCCAGGAGCCCAGACACGTGTTTCGCCGACATTCTGTCGCTGCAGGGCACAGCCGCAAGGGGTCCGGCGTATCAGCGGGTCCCCAAGCACTCCCCGTATGCTTTCTGGCAGAGCTTGAATAATTCGACTAAGCGAGTAAAATAAGTGATTCTCCATGGCGTGCTCAAGCACGATGCTGTCGTCGTGGCCGGGGCACCCGGACAACATCTCCCTACCTAGACGTCATCGTAATTATGTTTAGAAAGGGCTGGCAAGTAGACGCCAATATTCAGGGCGAAGTGCTTATTCTACAATTCTACCTTTGGGGACCTGGCGGAGTGGGCACATCACCGGTGAATTGCACTCGGATTAGCTCGCAATGGAGGACACTTGCACAGCGTCTTCCCGCTCTTCCCTCCAAATTGCTGCGATGACAAGGCAACGCCAGGACGATCGGCAGCGGGAGCGGACGCAATAGCTGCCAAAACCAAACCACGGCTGTGTGGGTCTAGAAATGTCGGATAAGGTCATCGAGTAAGAAATAATCGCTAACAAACATACAAAAAGCAAGGCCAGTTATAAGACTACACGGATTCGATAAAGCACGCGATGGGGTGGGACTTCTTTTTTTACGAACTTTGACCGTTAAATGCTCGGGTTGACTACTATCTCGGCTGCGCCAGAGCCTCTCCAGGCATGAGCCATGGGACGGGCGCGCGATAAAGCAGACATTCTGCAAATCGTTTACGGCCGAAAAAATTATATACGTGGGATTTCTGGCTTAGTTCAGATGTTCCCTTTAGGTTGCAACGTACGGACTGGATAAGATATGATCGGGCAGAAGTACCAGTATAAACAAACACAGTGGTAAACTGTTCAGAATTGCGCCTTTCACGACGAACAAGAGAACAAAATACATCGAAAATGAGATTTACGAAGGATGGTAGATTGATTTTCGTTTAAGTGGGCTACAAGGGAGTATGAAACAAGATGAACGGCCAGATAAGTCTGCGGTTTAAGCAGTCACGTCTAGACGGCCGCCGCCATTGCTTCAAATGCCTCAAGAGTTACTTGAGCCTTGGCCTTGGCTTCATCACCTTGCGCAGCAGAGAATTCTGACTGGGCTTTGGTCAGACCGTCGCGAACAGCTTGGGGATCCAACTGGTCAAGGGTGACAGCCTCCTCAGCAAGGACCTGCATGGTGGAGTCGTGGTTGACGGTCACAGAGCCACTGCTAACTAAAAAAATAAGACATTCCGCGTCAGGACCTGTAGATAGGGAGTTTTTAAAAAGCATGTGCAATCCTGCGATAAAACGCATTGCACTCTCCGTTTTGCCCGCAGCGAGAACGTTAGTTAATGTAATGAATGACGAATTCAATTTGTACAATAAAAGTATGCGTGTTCCGATTAAGATAGATAGATGAGGAGGCTTGATAATAAAATGACTGCTCAGAAGCCCAGTAAGGCCCGTTCTTCATCCGACTCATTGGGAAGCAAGCTACAGTTGGCTAGCAGATAAAATTTAACAAAGTTTTGGCTCTGATTTCAATCACACCTCAAATATTCTTTGGCGGAGCGGGGGAAAATATAGCCAGCGTAGCCTGAGCTAAGAACCACAGGGGAAAAAACTACATACGTCACGGCAAAAAACACGCGACGTTTTTCCAACGCAAAACGGTTACGACTTCTGGAGCTCCAAAACTGAGAGCAACTGATCCTGAGTGTCGGTACGAAACTTACCAAAATATTTCTTAACAGTCCCACTTTGTTCGGTGACGGTGACAACACCAGGTTTTAAATTAGCGATTGTAGGGACGTGCTCAGCAAGAACACCGAAACATCCAGATAGACCGGGAACATCCACTTGTTTCACATTCACCTTGTCATAAAACACCGTTCTAGGGCAGGCAAAAGTCAGATTTAGTTCTGCACTAAGTCTTGATGATGTGGAAATTAATCGCGAGAAGACCGGAGTCGACAGTTTATAACCGACTTTGAGAAAAGCCTAAAAGTAATATGGAATTAAAAGGGCCAACACCGAACAGACCATCACCGCAGCTTTCAGAGTCACCGCTGCTTGTGCCTGTTTAGTTTAACAATTGGGAAATTGGGTTAACACGAAGAATAATTTGAAATTTGCAGATAGGGCATACTTTGTCCGAGAATCTGATATGGTAACGTAACTTCCAGATTTTCTGCAATAATCGATGAGGTGAATTTCCTTCAACCTGGGGATCAACGTGTTCAATATAGATAGAGAAAGGATAAATAGTAGTGGAAATGCGATGCCCAGGTGGCATATCAAAGAAGGAGGAGTCGTTCATCGGGAGAGGTTTATTGGAGGTCTGAAACTTCCAGTAGCTACGTCGTCTACCCATCTGCAAAGACTGGGAAGATGCGACGGTTTACAGAGCAGACGGTAGATATCCAGGCTTCTTTCGCCTGCCTTGTTGTATGCTCATTGCCCGGCCCACGATCTCAACGGCGCCAAAGTTGAAAATGTGTCCGATTTGCGTGGTATGGGTTGCTGCCTCCGACTCTGGGTCCACCCTTCCCACATTGTACTCGTACTCGTGCACTCGCGTTTGCAGCCGTCGGCCGGTTTGCCCAACGTAGTTGTACATCTTGCCGCTGCAAAGAAGTCAGTAAACAATGGCCGGCATCTCCTTCTTAATGATGGGGACTTTTGGTCGCATCACTGGCCGGGTGACTGTAGGGTAAGGCCTGTGATCAACACGAGAGATCTAGTCATGGCTTCGGAGGCTTATTTTATGTACTGAATAGTCTACAGCGATTTCGGCTGACTGTACTCTTCACTCACTTTCATTTGCTGCATTTGGTCTCGTTTATCGAATGCTCGCGGATTGCCGTTTGCTCCGAAGAGTTCTTGGAGGATCTTCATCTTTTCCTGTTTTCCGGCTGGCGTGCTACAATGAGTTTCCACCCCTCGGTTTAGCGTGCGTATACAGCTTCGTTCGTATTGTAGCGGGTGGCAGCTGTTGCAAGTCAACAAGTGCAGCATGTTCGTTGGTCTTCTGTAGACTGACATCATCTGATTGCCGTCCGGTTGGCGACATGCGAGAACATCCAAGAATGGAAGCTTTCTCTCCATCTCCTTGTCCATCGTGAAATTTAAATCGGGAATGGTTGAGTCCACCAGCTCTCCATCGAAGTTAATTTTATCGTGACCGATGAATGTAAAGGCAGCATCAACGTAGCTCATCTAAAACTTGGCTTTGTACATCTCTTCTCCAGTTTTTTCAGAATCCCCTTGGCAATGAGCCCGGAAACTGGCGAACCCTTCAGAGTGCCCTTAATTTGCTCATATGTGATCCGCTCGAAGATAAAAATGTATTGATGCAGTGTCCATGAGTTCTCTGAGATCCTGAGCTGTAGGCTGGCCATCGTCCTCATCGTAATTTTGAAGATGCCCGTCACTGAGCGTCTCGACCGCGAGGACCTGTTGTTTGGGCGTAAAAAGTGAGGCGACATAAAATGTCACCATTATCTCATTCGGCTTAATTTTGACCGCACTCATTTTGTCAAGAAATTGTAATATAATAATATTTTTTTAGCCAAGACCCGTGCGACTACTATCATATTATGCTGAGTGTACTGTTGTTTGTGAGCCCGTGGTTACGAATCGTAGCTTATGAAATAGCCATTTTACAGCTCCGTATGCGGGCATGTCTCGGAGTGAAACGATTGGTCGGCGGGGAACATCTGGCTTGTGTACCTTTAGGAAACCGTAGGATCTCGCCATCGCGGTTTCTATGGGCTTTGCCAAATATTAATCTTTGACGGAGATGAGCTTTTCTTCATTTGGTCGGGCCAGAATTCTGCTAACATTCGCCTGTAGGAACTTTAGACTGGCGGCGTCGCTGAGTTCTTAGGACTCCCGACCGTTAAGGAGCATGAGGGCTTAATTTCCGTAGCCTACCCTGTCAAGGATAACGGTTGACCGGCCATTCTCAGCAGGCAAAATAACGACTTCGGTGTCCGCTTTTAACTCCCTAAGGGCCTTTTGATCATCTTTTAGCAGCGAGTGTTTTTTCTGGTGCGACATGAGAAGTGAGGAGCCTTCCCGTCGCAGGAGGTCTTTTGCTTCGTTTGAGGTGCCGGTTTGACGAAACACCGATTCGAAAGAAGCAATGAAAGGGACCGGGTCGGCGTCAGTTGTGTTAAAACCGGCTGCTCAGAAACAAGCAGCTTTTTCCTAAAACATTTTTGTTTTAAATGCCAGATCCTTGCTTAATAAGATGCCTTTGCTTCAGACTCTGGTGTTCATCCATTGTCCGGATATTGTTTTAGTAACTGAGACATGGGCATCAGCCTCCGTAGCTGAATCCGAACTCTCGCTTCTAGGCTATAATTGCATTCCAAATGATCGCCAAGATAGCCGTGATGGGGGCAGTTGCGTCTACGCTAAGCAAACATTGACATTTTTGCCGCTTGATCTCCCGCATTTTTCCGTAGTAGAAGGCACATGCTGGCTCCAGGTTGCCCTAAAAAATAAGTTCTCCTTACTCGTGGGCTGCGTCCATCGCCCTCCCAACGCCAACGACAATTTCGATCGTTTACTCTCACAGGCATTTCATGCTACGACCGACTTAAGCTTTAAGCATCAGTTGGTTGCGGGCGACTTTAATCTCCCCGAAGTCCGCTGGTCTCCGCCTTCAGGCCCCAGAAGGTTCGAAGACTTTCTTGAGGCTGTGGATGTTGGAATGTGGACTCAGGTTGTCGATTTTCCCACCGAGGCTCAAGCATACTTGACCTGATTTTCTGTAGATGCTGCATGCCATCGTCAGTGTCATCCCTAGGCCCACTTGGGGTTTTAGACCAGGACATAGCTTATTCAATTTGGGAATTCGAGGCTTACAAAAGGTTGTCCCCGAAGTACAGCTTTTTTCGTGATTTCCGATCAACTTGCTCAACCGAATTATTAACACACCTTAATTCCTACGACTGGACTGATTTCTTCCTTAGTTCGGATGTAAATGTTTGCACTGCAAATCTGTACGAAATTTTGAATCCGCTTATTTCTCGTTGTGTTTTACGTAAGAAAATTATTAATGTTGGGGATGAGGTTTTCCTGCCCTTACCCTTTCGTCGCAGATTGCGCAGACTTCATCGTCGTTTCCATCTTCAGAACGATGTTTCTGTCCTGCCGTTGATTGGTGATATTTTTGAGCGGGCTAATGGATTGTCTGAAAAAAGAGCTAGCCGAAGAGGTCCAATATACTGAAAACCGCTCGTTAAATGTCTCGAAACTTTTCTCTAGAAAAATAAGAACTCATAGAAAGACGCAGCATCCCATCCTCCGAGACGCTATCGGAAATCCCATAGTTGATTCCCAGTTCGAGCAACAGGAGGCCGTTGAGATTTGCATCTCAGTACTTTATAGGAGGTCACCAACTCGAATAAGTCAACGAGTTGAGAGACCTCGGTGTGTGGATGACGTCAACTCTCAAACCATCGTCTCACTGCGGTTAGGTATCAAAGAAATCTATGGGGATTCTAGGCGCGATTAGAAGATCTTTCGTCAATTTTGATGAAGAACTTTTCGGCCGAGTATTTGGCGCATACGTTCGACCAATGTTGGAATATTGTGTCCAGGCATGGTATCCCTGGACGAAAAAAGATTACACCCTACTGGAGAACGTACAACGTAGAGCGACCAGGCTAGTCGGCGGATTATGTGGCTTACCTTATCAGAGACGGCAGGAGAAGCTAAAAATATTTCCTCTCTCTTATAGACAGTACAGAGGGGACATGATCATGGCCTTCAGGATCGTCCGAGGGCTAGACTGTGCTCTTCAGTTTGACGACTTCTTCGAACTGGCGCGGACGACAAATCTCCGAGGGCACCCATACAAATTGAGGACGAAACATGCCAGACTCGATTTGCGGGCCATATTCTTCTCTCACCGGCTGGTTGAAGGATGGAACAAATTGCCGAACTCCGTTGTCTTAGCGGAAGACGTCGAGACTTTCAAAAGAAGACTAGATAAACTTATGCTTGACGGTCAAACATTTACATGATATCAATAACTGGTATAACTGCTATGTAAATATCTGCATGTTTTTTTCATACGTCTATCTGTAAATAGGGTTTTCCAAGGCTCTGCCTCTATCCCTCATATATACTGAATTATACTGAATTAACCGCTGATAGTTTCAATGCTTTCCTGTCCAAAACGCTTGTTGAAGACTCGACCACTCCAGTTCTGGCCGTCCAGGAATTAACCGGGGCAGTTCTAGAAACTATAACTTTCACTCTGTAGGCTGTGACTGTTGCGATTCGGCGTTTTCGTCAATCTTATAGTCCAGGACCTGATGGTGTCCCAGTAAGCATTTTAAAGGCCGATGCAAACACGATTTTCCCATCCCTCTTATGCAAAATATTTAATCTTGCTCTTGAAAGTGAAACTGATCCTATCTTGTTGAAGGAGTCACACATTTTGCCCATTCCTAAGCACGGCAAATCTACGTCATTTGATGGCTTTGGCCAATAAGCACCCTCCCCGCAGTTTCGAAGATCTTAGAGACATTGATCAAAGATATGATGATGTGTCACTTAACAATGAATACTTTGCTGAGTGCTGCTCAGCATGCATTCCTCAAAGCTCGGTCTTGAGACACCTGTCAACTCTCTTTCTTTGACTTTGTTCTCCAATCTAGGGACAATGGTTTTGCACTTTACACAGTGTATTTCGAGTTCACTAAGGCTTTTGATCGTGTTGACTATGCTTTTCTTCTCTTAAAACTGTCCTCTTTCGGAATAGGTGGCAAAATTTTGAATTTTATATCCTCTTACCCGGGCACTCATACACAACGAGTTAAGATTTCCAATACCATCTCCAACCCCACATGTGTGGGAACTGGAGTCATTCAGGGTAGTGTACTCGGCCCGCTTTTATTTTGCCTTTTTGTTAATGATGTACCCGATTTATTTCAGAATGGTAAGCCTTTCATGCATACCGATGATCTTAAATTTGCATATCGATATAAGCCGGCAGATCATGACATCGTGCTTGAGCTCCTTAAGAGCGATCTGCAGGCCTTCGCCCAGTGGTGCCGCACATGGCGCCTTTCTCTTTCTTGGCATAAGTGCTCAGTCATGGTGGTTGGCGACGACCACCAACCTCAACTAAATATTGAAGGTCACTCCATAAATGTGCCTGGGGTTATTAAGGATCTGGGCGTATCATACTCCAAGAGTCTCAATCTCTCGGAGCACTGTGCCTTGATGGTCTACAAAGCACGTAGAACGACCGGGTTTATCCTCCGAAATTTTAAAACTAGGGACATTAGAATGCGCCTTTAGAACATGTACGTTAGATCTGGCCTGGAATACTGTTCGTTTTTATTTAGCCTCATGCGTGCTACTGAGCGGAAGAAAATAGAACCCGTTCAACACTTTTTTACCAGGAGAATTTTAACCCCGGAACAGCGACATTTGTCTTACCAAGAACGTTGCCGGCTTACGGGCCTTGATCCTTTATGGTTCCGTAGATTGCAAAAGGGACTATTTTTGCTATTTAAACTCTTATATAATCACGCATTTTACCCACTCACCTCTTTAAGCCACCATGTCCACCCACAAGGTAACGGTCACCGTGAGGTCTTTTTATTTCTTCCTCTGTCACGCACGGTTAAAGATCTTCGGTTCTTTTCTGTAAATGCAATTGCTATTTGGAATAAACTACCCATGAGTGTGAAAATTCTGCAAAATTATCCTTTATTTAAGAGAACTATTACTCAATTTTTTCATTAAGAAAAGCTCCCACAAATTTTGGGTGATGAATCCACTGATCGACGCTACCGTAGCGATGGTGTTTGCGGTCTCTAAACACTATGACAGGTCTCACCATGAACTATTTCCTTGGCCAACAGCGACAG